CCGACCGACCGACCGACTGACTGACCAACTGAATGGCTGACTGACGGCTGTTCCTTTCTTAATGTCAAAACTGACTGCAGGTCTAATGTCCATATCTCAACACTCACGCAGGATGTCTCATGTTTATATGTGAATATTTACACTACCTCATCTCAATATCTCAACACGAACGCTGCATGGCTCATGTCCATGTGTCAACATTCACACACTATCTCATATCAATGTCTCAACACACGCATTTAGTGCATTGACCTTTATCTACGCTCAGAATATCCAACAACAACTGCAGTGGTGGCATTTGGACGAAAATGGAGGCTTACATCCGGGTATTTAGCTGGCAGCGAAAGTAGAGATGCATGGAGAGAAGTGACCACAATCCGTCACCGGGAGAGGTAACTGACATTACCTGACATGGGGAGGGATATGTACGTCCACCACGTGGGTAGCTTGCTGCCATTGCCTGGCCTGGAGAGGGAGCGTGCGTACCCACTATCGAGGAAGAAATCTAGCAACGGCATGGGTTGGTGGGGTGGTGTATGTACGAACACCAAGGTCGTATGTAGCTGACAATGTCTGTGGTGGAAGGGTGTCAACTATAGAGGTACATAAATTATCTGGTGACTGCATGGCAGTATGGGAAGAGGCGCGTACGTTTACCACGGGGGTAGGTTACTAGTAAGGTCTGAGGTGGGGAGGGGGCGTGCATACCAATTATAGACGTACATATCTAGCTACGGCATGGATGGTTGAGCAGGGGTATGTACGTCGACCAGGCAGTAGGTAGCTGAAAATGCCTGGGGTGGGAAGTGTGTATCAACTCTATACAAATAGATCTAGCGACGGCATGGGTGGTTGGTGAGAGGTATGTGGGACCACCACGGGGGTAGGTTAGTAGCCATGCCTCGCATGGGGAGGGACGTGGAGGACCACCGCTGATAGGTGAGATATACTCCCACGGAATAGGTAGCTGTCAAAGGAAAGGGTGATAATCAAGATATGATAATGATAAGATATGATACAGT